CCATAGATACGTCTTTTTTTTCAAAAATGTATTTTTGGTACATAATGAATTTCAACATATTTGTACTTTTAAGAATAGAAATTTAACCATCAGTAAGGAAAGATTGTTATTATGTCAAAAAACATGTTGAAGTCCCCCTTCAGAAAATATTTCTATCACTAAGAATGAATAATAAAAGTCATTGTTTTCAACATTATAATATATACTATGTTTTAAGGGATTTATTTATGTTTAACATATACAGACTTTAAACCCAGGACATACAACCAATGAGAGTATTCTAGAAGAAAAGTGAAGACTGGTGGAATTTTTTTTAAGTATCAAGACTTGGCCATGAAGGAGTTCATGCACATGGAGTCAATAATGTGCCCTTTTGGATGCCTCAAGCTCTTCACCACAGTTCCCTGGTGAGTGTCTTCAGTGTGATCACCTTCCTTTATTCAACAATTTCTCCTAAATGTTTGTTCTATAGGTATAAATTATCTGAATGCTTCACATATCAAAAAGCCCAGTCATTCCAGAGATCTATGGATTATGTCTGCCGATTTGTGACTAATTTTTATTATTACACACCATCTCCCCAAAGTGCAAGGAGCCCTGGTGGCACAATGGTTAAATGGTTGGCTGCTAACTGAAAGGTTGGCTGTTCGAACCTATCCAACAGCTTAGTAGGAGAAAGACCTGGTGATCTTCTTCCATAAAGATTAATAGCCTAGAAAACCCTACGGGGCAGTTCTGCTCTGTCACATGGGGTTGCTGTGAGTCAGAATTGACTCAGTTCATCCAATGATACAACAACAACCCTGAAATGCACCCACATAATTGCCAAATGGGAAGCTGCACAACTAAAGGCCCCAGACTCTCTCACTCATAAGCTTTGAAGAGGCCAGAGGTGCAATGTCTTCATACCAATAGAGTTGGGACAAATAACTTCACGAGTGTGACAGGCAGGATAAACTCATTGCTGTCAAGTCAATTCTGACTCATGGCAACCCCATGTGTTACAGAGTAGAACTGCCCCATAGGATTTTCTTGGCTCTAATCTTTACAGAAGTGGATTGTCAGGCCTTTTTTCCTCGACACCGCTGGGTAGATTTGGCCCATCAGCCTTTAGGTTTGCACCACCCAGGGACCTTGGTAGGCAGGATAATGGCCTCCAAAGATGTCCATGTGCTAATCCTCAGGACCTGTGAATATGTTATATTGCATGGCAAGGTGGAATTACGGTTGTAGATGGAATTAAGGTTGCTGACCTTGAGGTGGAAAGATCATCCTGGATTATCTCATGGGTCCAATATAATCACTAGGATTCTTACAAGTGAAAGAGGGAGGCAGGAGAGTCAGAGTGACAGAAGGAGATGTGGTGATGGAAGCAGTGATGCAGTGATGAGAGTGATGCAGCAAGAGACTCAGCTGGCCATCGCTGACTTTGAAGATGGGGAGGGAGCCACAAGCCAAGGAATGAGGGTGGCCTCTAGAAGATGGAAAAGGCAAACCTACAGATTCTCCCTGGAGCCTCTAGAAGGAACACAGACTGCACCAGAACCATAATTTTCACCAGTGAGACCCATTCTGGACTCTGACCTTTAGAGCTGTAAGATAATAAATTTGTGTTGTTTTAGGCCGCCAAGTTTGTAGTGATGTGTTATAGCAGCAATGGGAAACAAATACAAGAAGATCTTTAGGTGTGACCGAAAGATGTTGGGAGTTAATGTTAAATAGGGAAAAATACAAAAAAAAGTCGAAGCCAATGAACAGCTATTTATGGGTAATGATGAAGGATGAGGTGGCAGGAAGGGGCCTGTCATGGTTTGAATTATGTCCCCCAAAAATGTGTGTATCAATTTGGCCGGGCCATGATTCCTGGTACTGTGTGATTTTCCTGTATGTTATAAATCTGCCTCTATGATGTTAATGAGGG